AGTAGTTCTTGTAGTTGAGCCTTCAACTCTTTCATTTCAGCAGGAGCCATGCGATAGGGAGTTGCAGATATCGGTCCTGTTCCAGGAACAAGATCGATGGAAAATTCTACTTCTCTGGAAGATGGTATACCAGGAAGTTCGTCAGGAAATACGTCAGGAAAACCACATACTGTCGGTATGTCTTTCAACTCAGGAGTTTCCTTTCGCGTGTCACGTACGTTACACAGATAAGCTTCACATTTCTTTCGAATGAGACGCCTAGCGTGTATGTACGAGATGAATTCAGTGGATCTAGGTGTTAGATTCTCTTTCACCTCTATAGACTTTCCCTCTCCAGACTTTAGTTGAATCGTTCGTCGCCGGCAATCGATAATTGCTTGGTGTTCGGTGAGCCAGTCCATTCCGAGGATGATGTCAAATTCTTTGTACGGTAATTCGACAAGATTGGCAGAGAACTGATGTCCTTCAACAATCAATGGACAGTCTTGATACACATGATTTAACCTCATACTATGTCCTAACGGGTTAGACACTAGTATAGGTTGTTCAGTAGTTGAGTTTAAGACAGGAATTGCAAAGGATTACAACAGTTGATACAATCAATAGATTTGAAATCAACAATAAGATAATTTTCTAAGCGTTTGCGTTCGATTGGTTGGATCGTGCCGAATCTACAGACGGGTCTTCCTTGCCCGACCCACATACGCTACTGGCAGAGTCTACGCTGAACGTCTCTTCTGGGTCATCTCGTTCCCACGCAGCCTTGCGGCGCAGATAAATCCTTCGTTTCATTATTCTTGCGAATCGATGTGCACGTTGGTAACGTATCAACGAGTCATAGACATTTCGTGACTTTGCACTGTGGTAATGTGACTTTGCATTGTGGTAATGTGGCAGTATACATGTGCAAATTACTATACTTTTTTGGTAATGTATATGACCATGTTTGGTAATTTAAGTCCTATTTCGGGAATAAAAACATGGAAGTCCTATTTTGGTATACTTTCAATGTTTTAGTCCTAGTTTGATCTTTTCTCCCAAAGATAAACGAAGAAAGAGATGAATAACAACTTGATAGTGTTGGAATCGGGGTAAGTAAGTATGGAGGAACAACACCACGCAGCATTACTTGGTATATTTTTAACGTAAAATGACTTGATAGACTAAACAAATCGCGTGAAATCACGCTTTCAGATTAAAATTATTTTGATGTATAATAAAATACTTCAATCGGATAAGACGCTATTATATAAAATGAGTATGGACTTCCTACTTTTCTCAAACATACCATGCAAGCCCATAATATAGGCATTTGTGCGATCGAACGTGACCGATGGCCAGATAGACGCAACCCGTGGGGAAAATCTTATCTTTTGGGAAGTTATCCAATTCGACTTATTCGAATAAGTAGAAACTTATTCGAATAGTTGGGGTCTTCAAAAAATCATTCCTGTGCTGAACTATTCGAATAAATGATCATTTATTCAAATAGTTGGGATTCTTCAAAAACAGGCATGTACTGAACTATTCGAATAACTATGAATTTTTTCGAATAGTTCACTGTGTTAACCCTTTTTTAGTACGTTTTTCATATGTTCGAAAAATTACATATTTTAGACTTCAATTACGAAAATATGAAGGATTTTCATAAAGCGATAATGTCCAAAATACGAAAAGCTCCACCCGAGTCAGGGGCTCTGCCCCTTGGACCCCACTACCGGGGGCCGCCGCCCCTTGGACCCCACTACCAGGGACTACCGCCCCCAGACCCCACCGTTGAATTTCTAATATCGTTTAATGAGCATGCACTCCGCACATCCTAACTTGTTAGAAACGTCTATTAAAATTCCTATCCGATCTTAAGTTAATTTAATTACACAAAATAGCCGATGACACTAAAATCACCAATAGATAGTTTAACGAATTGCGTAAACACTTTCAGATCAAAGTTATTTCGGGATATACTAAAATACTTTTATCAGATAAGACGTTAATCAAGAACAAGCACTTCGAATTTGTTTTCTCAACCGATACCTACGTCACTAAATTTATAGAAACGAAAAGCATGATCATACAGGCACGTACGTTGCTGAAGATGCGTGCATACAACGAAGAATTGCATGGGTTTTTGGGCTATTTTCGAACGTTCAATTTTTTAACATTTTTGGACTCCATTCGTGAAAACTGAGAATTTTCATAAAGCAATAATGTCAAAAGCAAAAACTTTCCAAGCTGTCCCAACAACTCGACCCCAGCTCTTATACCAGACTACATTACAATATGATAAAAGCTACAAATAGAACAATGTGAAACTCATTCAGAGCATTATTTTATTGTTCAAGACGATCACTATGAAAGACATTAGAAGGTGTTGTAAGAGCTGAAGCAAAAGATAAAAGGCAGTGTACTATAGTTCAAGCTACACATCCCAATCTAAACTCCAAATTAGGTTTTTAATTATTACATGCTTCACATCTTCGCATAATGATGCGTGCTTCACGTTTTCCTTAAAGGAATGACTAATTATGCAACAGTTCTTTGACCGTAGAGACTATTTTGTAACTTTTGAAAGTTTGAGAACAATATGCCCACTTATAGAATACAATGAGGTCAATGTATGCATGCATATAACTCTTTGATAAAATAATATAATCATGTTCCATCTTATTTCACAAAACTTTTATGTTATTTTTAAATATCTAAATTTTATTTTGTAATTCTACCTCAATTCTCAAAGAAATTATTTTGAAAACAACTTCCACTTCAAGAAGTAGACAAATCTGTGACGAACAAATTTTGTGGCACAAATGAAAAATCTATGACAGATAAGAGATATGTAGCACGTGTTGTTTTACAAGAGAACTCAAAAATCCGTGGTAGAACTGCGATGAAATATTTAGTTCGACGCAGAGATAATGTACCACATTTTAAGCGGTATTCAATCTGTCGTGGAGTTGTGGTACATATGTAATTCATATTATCCGTGGTTGATATCCGTAAGAGATCTTGCATGTTATTGTAACGTTCAGTCAAACATCGTAAACTGAAATAAATATTTTAAATTGAAACAAATGGAGTAAATTACGATTTCATTAGACTTATCTTGCAATGAACTTTCAAAAGTTTTTATTGTAATAATAATATACAATACAAAGGTATAATAATTGATAACTAAAATTTTTCCATGTGACTAAGAAAAGTCAAATTAGAAAAGAATAAAGCAAGTATATTACATGTAACACCCTAATCCGTCCAGGTTTACAACCCCTTCCGAACTAAAGTATTAACTTGGTAATCGTATAATTTAAAGCATTTCAATTAACTTTATTCATCATAAATGAAATTCCAAACATAATTGTAGTAAATACGAAGTGTTTAATGCGGAAGCAATTTTCAAACATGGTTCATAATAACAGAATCATTTATTTTCTCAATAAATCCACCACGACTGTCTCGCTCCTTCCGCTGCCAAGAACATGCCATTCACTCATTCTGTCTACCTGCGTGTAGCAAATAAAACATACTACACGCTTAGCGATGAAGCTGAGTAAGCATATCTAAAGCGTCGAACATCCAAATAAATTGAATCTCAATTCATAATCAATCATTTGATATCATGCACACAATATATGATTCAAACATTCATGATATTCTCAATATTTTATTCCAAGTCATTCGATATTCAATATCTCAACCATGCTCTTAAATTATTCTTAATCTAAGGCCAAATCATTTTATAACAAGCTCTTAGCTATTCCTAGTCTAAGGCAACATTTCTAACCAGGCCCTTAAACTATAAATAGTTTAATGCAGAACACAAGAATCGATAATCCACCCTATGAGTCATGTGGATTACGTACCAACCGAACAATGATTTGTCGGGTGGGTGATATCCGGTCTGGATCCCGTACGTACGTTTTAACCCCGAAATATGAATTGGTCAAGGAGGTATATCTTAGAGTTCTTCTAGATATCCTTAATAATCATCATCATTATACAAGTGGGTATATCTTTAGAGTTCTTCTAGATATCCTTAA